TATATGTATATATATATATATATATATATATTCTTACGTATATTATTATTATTACGCCTAGATAGGAATTGTATTTATAAAAGAAGTAATGTGTTTTTTAAAAACATTCCCCTCCCCTCTCCCCTAGTCCCCACCCTATAATAAAATATAATTATTAATGTTATATATATATATATATATATGTATAATATAGCAATATTATATTTACCTTGTCCACATAAGCATTTACATGATTTATTATTTTATTTATTACGCATTACTTGTTATTATCCCCATTGTTTTTTTATGTTAAATTTGACATAGTTATTTTCTACAGTAATGATATTTAGTTTTTCTTCTTTTTTCTTGTTAACACAAGAAGTAATTTGGATAATTATTAAATTAGCTTTGTTATTTGTTATTCTTAGGAGAACATATAAAGAACTGGAGATCGAGATATTTTGTTCTTAGAGATGATGGCACTTTGGTTGGTTTTAAGGCTAAACCTGATCAACAAATGGCAGCTACTGCTCAACCATTAAATAATTTCACAGTACGTGGTTGTCAAATAATGTCTGTTGACAGACCTAAACCATATACGTTTGTGATCAGAGGTTTACAATGGACAACTGTTATTGAAAGGACATTTCACGTTGAAACAGAACAGGAAAGAGAAGACTGGGTAGCAGCAATTAGGTGTGATTTTACAATCACATTTATTTATAGTGTTTGAAATAATATTGCTGCATATCACAAATAATATTTCCCTTTCTTTTTTTTCTTTGAATATTATATGATAGATATGTAGCTGATAGATTAGAAAATGAAGAACAGCAACAACAACAACAACCACAAATGCAACAATCATCTTCGTCAGAAGATATTGATATGGAATCTACGGGAGGTGGGAGATCAGATTCCTGTGGTTCTCTTAGTGTAGTCTCTGCTGACATTGATGGTGGCAGTATCGATGAATTATCTGCCAAATTTAGTGTACAAGGAACTTCAAGTAGTAAAAGTACTGGAAAAAAGAAAGTAGTATGTATATTATAAACAAATCAGAGTTGTAATGTATTTCAATTTGTTTTATATACTTACAAATGTAAAGGTTTATATAAGTAATTATATTTAGTGTGTATTATTTATAATGTTATTTTATATTATATTTAATATTTTATGTTACAGACACTTGAAAATTTCGAATTCTTGAAAGTTCTAGGAAAAGGTACATTTGGAAAAGTTATTTTATGTAGAGAAAAAGCAACGGGACATTTATACGCCATTAAAATCTTAAGAAAGGAAGTTATTATTCGCAAGGATGAAGTTGCACATACGCTTACGGAAAATAGAGTTTTACGTACCACGAGTCATCCTTTTTTAATTGTATGTAACACTTCTTTAATGTGTATTATCTTGAAATTATATATATATATATATAATTAAATATTAATTCAATCTGTTTGCTTATATATTTCAGTCTTTAAAGTATAGTTTCCAAACTGCGGACAGACTATGTTTTGTAATGGAATATGTAAATGGTGGGGAATTATTTTTTCATTTGAGTCGATCTCGTATATTTACAGAAGATCGTACTAGATTTTACGGAGCTGAAATCATTTCGGCATTGTCTTATCTTCATTCGCAGGGTATTATTTATCGTGATTTAAAATTAGAAAATCTTCTTTTGGATAAGGATGGACATATAAAAATAGCTGATTTTGGTTTATGTAAAGAAGATATTAGATATGGTATGTATCACATTAAAATTAAATATAAAATGATCTAATTTTAATCATATTCTTTAATAAACGTTTTAACAAAACAGGATCAACAACCAAAACATTTTGTGGTACACCCGAATATTTAGCACCTGAGGTACTGGAGGATAATGATTATGGACGAGCAGTAGATTGGTGGGGTGTGGGTGTTGTTATGTATGAAATGATGTGTGGTCGATTACCTTTTTATAATAGAGATCATGAAAAACTGTTCACTCTTATTCTATTAGAAGAAGTTAAATTTCCCAGAACTATTAGTAACGAGGCAAAAGACATGTTAGGTGGTAAGTGTTAAATTTGTTTAATTGAATTACTAAAAAAAAAAAAAAAAAAAAAAAAAAAAATAAAAGATAATTCTTTTTAAATAAATGAAACATTGTCTAAATAAATATCTTTGTAGGACTTTTAATTAAAGATCCTGGCAAAAGATTAGGTGGTGGACCTAACGATGCAAGGGATATCATGGATCATGCATTTTTCTCGTCAATAGACTGGTCAGATCTTGTACAGAAAAAAATACCACCTCCTTTTAAACCACAAGTTACATCGGATACCGACACAAGGTACTTTGATAGTGAATTTACTGGCGAAAGCGTCGAACTTACACCACCTGATCAAGGTTGTTTAGGAAGTGGAGGTGGTTTAAATTCAATTGCAGAAGAACAAGAACATTTTCCTCAATTTTCTTATCAAGAAAGCCATTCTGCAACAACATCTTCCATTGTTTCTATTAATCACTGACAGTACCAAAAGGTTTTTTTTGGATTCTTATGTTGAAGTGTGTGATTAAGTGCATGGAAAAAGTCAGAGATGATAGATGTAAATTTAAGAACTGTCCGAAGCTTAAATATTCTTGAAACATAGATCAGTCAGATTTCTGTCGATTTTTGATGCTTTTTTGATGCATCTACTATATTTTGACACATATCTCCAATGGTAGATAATACATCCATGCATGCACACATGTATACATATAAACATTCACTAAATTGTACATGGTAAATGCATGTACTGTAAGTACAGAATTGAGTATTACTCTTTATACCTGTGCATAAAAAAACAACCGAACACTATATAACGAGGATTTATCTATATTTTAAAACAGTGTAGTTATTTTAAATATGATCTTCTAACCATCTTCTAACATGAACAATGACTCTTCAATTATTGAAGATAACGATTATTATAGTAATTCTAATTTTGTTTAATGAAGTGTAGTACTCTACACTCTGCAGCTTTATATTGTCCTTTTATTAGATTAATATATATTATTTTATATGTATATATATATATATACATACACATATAAAATAATATAAGGACGACTCCCCTGTTCTTCTTGTTTCAGAATTTGTCGACACATTGTTGCGTGAAAAAAAAAAAAAAAATAAACGAATGTTAAGTTTAGCAAAGTTAGAAGCTGTACTATCGAATGGTTTTGCCATTTTTTAAATGGAAGTATAGTGAAAATAACAGCTTTAATTGTATTATTGTATAAATTGAAAAATTTTATTACAATTTTCTTTGTTGTAATATCTAAGAATATCATCATTAAAAAAAAAAAAAAAAAAAAAAAAGTGAATTTGTTTGCTTCATGTAAAGTCGCCAACTCACATTTATGTATCATGAATTAAATCAGTAAATGTAAAAAAAAAAAAACGAAAGAAAGAAAGAAAGAAAAGATAGAAAAATCTGATTAAAAATGCAGATGGAGATGTAAATCACTATATAATTATAACTATTATTATGGTTATTTGTATTATTATTATTATTATTATTATTATAATTCTTATTTTATTATTAAATGGTATAACGATTATATATATATATGTATATATATATATATATATATATATATATATATATATATATATATATATATACATATATTTATATTTTAAGAATTAAAAAATTATATTGTATACCTACGTATCATTTATTTCTTTCCTTTTTAATTTGTATATTATTTTAACAATAATTTCGTATTCACTTCGCTTCTAATTGTACGTTCAATCTAAATCATCCATTAATGTTTATTAAACACTTCATTGCATAATACATTTATTAATTTTAATAGATATATATATATATCTTTTTTCGATATATGAAAACGCTTCAAATGTAAGCAGTACAATGTAGAGTACTGTAAATCATTAAAAGTGAATTTACTTTATAATCTTAATATTTTCATTGTATGTATATCTATTTTGTACTATATACGTATATATACATATGAGCCGTTTTTTTTTAAAGTGGTATGAATCCAACTTTGAAAAAAAATGAGTTGAAGATTGATGATGAGAGAAAGAGAGAGAAAACGAATGTCTGTTTTTTATATTTATAATAACAAGGTCAATACAGTACAATATCCTCAGTATTAGTCAAAAGAAATTTGGCTGTTAAATGGAATTGCATAAATGTTTTTTTTTTTTCTAAATTGATACTAATTTCATTTGTAACAATGAATATATGTATAACATAATTGTGTTTTTACAGTGTTCCTCGTTATGAGAACTCTTTTTTTTTTTTGATTCTAACTTAATTTGAAATTAAAATGTATGTATATATATTCTTAAGAAAACACATTCAAAATATTACACAATTGAAGATTTATATTATTATAACAGACATGTGCACCAGACAAAAGAAAAATATTGAAAAATGGCATTACTAAAAATTGTTCACTTTCCTGACAATAATGTAAACGTGGGTTGATCATGAATTTGTACTGTCAGATCGTCGATTCATTTTTATCAAATAAAACTCGAAGATTTTGAAATTGTAAAAATGGCACTAAGGAAAGTGAATTTAATTTAAAAAAAAAAGAAACATATAAACTGAAGACTATATTATAAAGTAATAGAACAATGCTGAAAAATAAGTAAATGTTTTGTTATATGAAATAAAAACGTAGAAGCTTTGTTTTACAAAAAGAAAAGACAAATACTAAAAGAGACAAATTATAAATTGGCTATAAACAAAATTCATTAGACGAATTTCAAAATGAATAAAAGTTGTCTAAGAATTTTGTATTATAAAAAAAAAAAAAAACGTCAATAGAAGAAAATGTCTAATTTATAATTGTAGATTTTTTTTTGTTTTTTTTTTTTTCAAAAATAAGGAAGGTTCAAAAATATCCACAAAATAACATTATTGTTATTGCATACCAATTCAAAACCTATAACATCAATTAAAAATAAGACAATATAAATTTACTAACTTATATACTTCCTATCCATCATGAATATTTCAGGAAACTTTGTACGAAGCCAAATGAAGACTAAAATATTAATAAAAGTTATTAATATTATAATTCTTTTTCACATTTCTATTATTTATATTTAAATGTAATACATTTATTACTATTTATGTATTTTTTACGTAATTCTAATAATGTCTTTTCTTCAATTAAAATATAAAGTTAATTTATATATCACATATATATATATATAGGGTGTCACAAAAAATGTTACAACACTTTGATTATTTATACAGTATTTATTAATTATCCTATAATTGCACTCTCAATATTTCAAAGTGTAATAGTAACATTTTTTTGTCCAACACCCTCTGTATATTATCTATTCATGACTTGTATAATGCTATTTTTAAATTGGTATAAGCCTTTTTGCGATCAACAAAAATGTTTTTTTAACACTAGATTGCCCGAGATTTCTTGTATAGCTATATTGCCCAAAAACAGTCAAAATGACTGCATTGTGAAAAAATAACTAATGTGTAAACAAATTTGTTTAAAATTAATTTTTAATATTTCTTATATTATTTACAGTTATACAACAAGTTATTAGTAAATATTAACAATATTAATTAATTAATTATTATTAATTCTAAGAAATTGTGTCATTATATACATAATTGTTTTTCTAATTGAAAATAAAAAACAGTCAAAATGACTGCCTTGGGCAATCTAGTGTTAATTAGACGAAATTTTGAAAAAATTTTACATAATAATATAATAAAATATCAAACACATGTCTGAAATCCTAAAAACAATTCTTTAACATATTTAACATTATTTATAGTTCAATATGCATACAATATCTGAAAATTAAAAAAAAAAAATTTACTTATACCGCTTTAAAAAGATATATATCAACTTGTATAGTCAGATATATATACATAATTGCCAAGTTCTAATAATACTATTTTTATAATCCTTCATTTTTTTCTAGACCAAATTCTTTTAAATCATACATCGGTAGAATATAATCTTTTATAAGCCAGATATGATCTATAACAGCTCCTTCCTTATCATCAGAAACCTATTAAAAAAGAAATACAGTAATCATTTATAAAATGCAATTAAATTTTACAGATGCAACTATTTTTATCGGTTTACCTGTTCCAAATATAAATGTGTCTTATTAATCGGTCTCATACGTGTATATCCATAATCAGAACTATGAAACGCTGACCAATCTGGTGGATTAGGAATAAACTTTTCTCTACCTTCTTTACATCCAGCAGATCCTGTTACCACATGTACAGGAGCTTTGTAATTCTTATATGGTTCTTCATAACTACCATTGTACACCTAACAATTAAATTGATTCATTATTCTGTTCATTATATAATGCAGGAATATATTTATAATTGAAATTATAAATTACCTTGAAGTTGTACATTGGCCACATTCGTTCAAAACTATGTTCGTGTGCCCATAACATTAAATCTACTTTATGTTTAACAAATAAGTCTTCTAAACCAAACCAATTCAATAATGGTAAACCAACTCTAACTAAACTTTGATGATTGGTGCAATCATCTGCATTTGCATTACTGCAATACATCGGTCTATGTCCAAATGTAACTATCCAAGGACGTTGAGCTCTATGAATACAAAAAAGATACATTTAATATATAATAAAATGAAATAAATAAACATTTTGAATTACCTATTCTCGGGTCTATTGGCTTCTTTCAAATCTTGATCAAGCCATTCGTATTGTTTTATAAGTTGCTTTATTCCATAATTCATAAAATAATAAGCTTCTGTTTCTATACCAATAAAATGTACAGGACCCATGTTGAAACTGTACCATAATCCTTCTGAACTACCAGGCATTGTAAAACGTGCTCTGTTAACAATTATTAAAAGCATTGTTATATAAATAAATGAAATAACATTTGTTTTAATATAATTGAAATAAAAACAAACCTATAATTACTAAAATTATATTTTTCCTCGTGATTACCAGGTACAGTCATGTATGGAATATAAGCAGCAACTCCTTCAATTTGTTTCATAAATTCATCACCAACTTTAGCATTTTCGGTATTCATGTCATAAGCAAAATCTCCGATATGTATTGCAGCATCGTATAACCCACGATGAGTTTCTTGTTGCAGTCTGGATAAACTTTGAGCATTTTCATTTCCCATATCACCAAAGATTACAATGTGTGGTGACCAATCGATAGAATTATCAGGAGCAGTTTTAACATAAAATACATTTGACCATCCATATCGACTTCCACATTGATACACTAATTTTAAATGATAAGAGTATTATCTTATAACGTTAAAATAATGATAAGAACAATAAAATATTACAAATAATTTACTATAGTGACTGTCAGGTCTAAGATTTGTCAACCAAACTCTATGAATGTATTGTTGCTTTCTTTTGGGTCCTCCATCAACGAAAAGAGTTGAATTACCATGAGCAGTTAAAACAAAACCACCAATACCATATTCGACTATAGATTCACCTGTATCATTTCTTGTACTCCATGTAACAACAATGTCATGTATATTATCTGTAATACAAGAATAATATGTTTCCATTATATTTGCACCCCATTTACAAATCTTTTGTATGACAAAGTGTAATCAATTTTTGTATCATAATTATATTGTTTAAAAATACTTACTGCCATATGAAATATGCACTGCTTCAGGTTGAAAATGAACTGTACAATATGTCGAAGAAAATATAGAAAATATCAAAAGCACTATAAACAAACCCATGTTCAACTTTTCATTAACAACGCAAAATATTGTATCGATTTTAATGATGACTCGTTCAAATTTCAAAACAAACAATTCAAAATCACGATAACGATATTATCACCACATAAAATCTATTATTATATTTTTTAACACTTTTAATAATTAATTAATATTATAATTTTATGAAGAATAGTTAGAATAATTTGTAATAGACAATTACGTCTTATTCTGGTCACTTGTTAACAATACAATGATCATTGTCATAACTCATTGTTAGTAATTCATGTTTGACGATAATTATCCCTACTTATGATAAAACGTGACTAAATAACACATATTTGATTGTGATAATTCTTTTGTGTTGCAATGTGTAATCAAAACGTAATCTAAATTAAAGGTCGTTTTACAATGCGTTAAAATAAAAAATGTACAACGTGAATAACACTGATGTAAGTGAATTATCGAAATTATTTTATTGAAATATTTAATATTTTATTATATATAAATGCAATATTCAATTATTTAATAATATATTGTTATTTTTAAAAATAAAATAAAGTAAATGAATGCACGTATTGTATGAAAACAATCCAAATGCGCGTACAATCAGTGCAAGTGAATAAAGTTGAGCTGTGATTGGTCAAATTGAGAAACACGTGATATACTAGGGGTTTTTTTTTTTTACTGTAATTATCATTAGTCTTGTTTTTACTATTAAGTCGCGCGTGTCTTTCTTTAAATCAAAGTTGTCTTTGTTTTTTTATATAATACGTAAATATTTTCTGAAATACTTCTCATTCACATGAAATATTATTATAAAACGAAAATATATAGATCAGTATATTACTTTTATTACGTTTTTAACAATTAACGTGTAATATAAGGATTTTGAATTATCTATTTTATCTATTACATCTGTCCACGTGTAATTTGTTTAAGATATGTTTTTCATAATTTGTGATATATATTTAATACAATAATTTTTATATTTGTGAATATTATAAAATAGAATTTTCTTTTTTATTTATAAATCTAATTACATGTGCATTTTATCATAATTTAAACTTTAACGATATGTTCTTGTCACATTAATTATGCCATTTTCTAAGGTTAGATAATCTTAAATATGTTAGAACAATTAAATATATATATTTGTAAATTTAGTTTTGTAACATGATAAGAGTTACGAAATCAACAGCCTCTTTAGCTCAGTGGTAGAGCACTGGTCTCGTAAACCAGGGGTCGTGAGTTCAAACCTCACAGGAGGCAAATCCTTTTTTTTCTTTTTTTTTTATATTTTTTTTCAATGATTATTTTATAATTGAATTAAATCGTATGACTAAATTAAAATTACATTTTTATGTAGACATTTGTTTATAGTAAAAAATGATTAATAAAATTGTACAAATAATTTAACAAATTTATAAACAAATGTATAATGTATTATTTATTTTAATAAAACATTATACGTAAAACATACAACATGTACAATGAATAAAAAAAAAGTTTAATACAAACATTATATTATCATTGATTGTTTATTCGATTATTCTGAAATGTTAAGTACCTTTTTTTTTTTTTTTAAAAAAAAAAAGGAAAGCTCTTTCATAGTTATTAAACTTTGCAAAAAAAAAAAAAAAAAAAAAAAAAGTAAAAAATATGTTCGTACCTCCGAAACAAATTCGCCATTGTGGGATACTTTTTCTGTTCAGATTGTTCGACGATAAAAATGAACTTCCTGGAATTACTCTTTCAACCATTGTAATAATACCCATAGGATTAGTAACAATGTGTACTCTCATGGTAAAATAATAATGGTCTTGCACCATGCTTATGCATTGTTTTCTATAATCATGTAAAAAGCAATGAAATAATATTATGTAACATAATTTATGTATGTATGCAAAATGTTGTTCATTATTCTCCTTTTGTAATATATTCAGTGAATACTCGTGTTGGAATATGAATTTGTAAACATTTAAAACAATAATTTATGATAATATTATAGAATCCATTAAAATGTTACAAAAGTGTTAAATGGTTCGTATAAACAATTCAGATAACTTACAAATATTGAAAGATTAAAATAATAAATTTATTATCTTTAAGTATACATTGTTTTATTTTGTAAATATATTCGTGTTATCATTCAATTTACTAAAATGAATTTTTTCATATAAATTTTCATTCAATATAAATTTTTTTATTATTTATTCAGGTATAACAAATTATATTTAATTTATATTTTACGATAGAAATTAAATATTATATTTCATTGTAATATATTAATTTGAATATGTTTTATAATTAAAATAATTTTTTGTATATTTATTTAATTTAAAAAAAGAAAATAATATTATTTTAATGTGAATACTTTGAAATATTTTGCAATAATTTTTTATTATGTATACAAGTAGAACAAATTAATTTCATTTATATTTTACGATAGAAATTAATTATATTACATTTCAATACTAATTTGAATACGTTTAATAATAAAAAATAATTTTTATTATTAAAAAAAAAAAGAAAACAACATATATATTTTATTTAAAATACTTAGCTTGATCATTTGAAAAAAAAAAAATTCGTTCACAAGAATTGATTCAACACTAAAAACTGTTTGTACAATTGAAAACACGAATAATGCTAAAATTCTGTCTAACAAAATTAAAGTCCTACGAACATGCGCGAGAGAAATAATCGTAAGGTAAAAAAAAAAGGGTTGACGTGGAAAAGGGTTGGAATACAGGAAACACACGTGAAGTATCATTAAAAATTTATTTGATATAAGTAGTTTTAAAAAGTGTACTTGCGATCGATTTAATTGATTGCGAAAGTAACTGTTATTATTTTTTTTTTCTTCCCCTTTTTTTTGACTTTGACAATAGAATACTTGATTTATAAATTATGACCGTCAGTCAAGTAGTTGAAGTATAATTTAAGTATAATCATACAATTTCTTACCACACATACATACATGTATATATATATATATATATATATATATATATTGTAAATGATGAAAATAAGGAAAATGAATTTGCGGAAGTGAAAATAAAGAAATAATAGTACATAGTAGTAGTTATAAGGGTTAAAAATAATACACGTATAAATTACGTGTAAGGGATGTGTGTTAAAAAAAAGAAAAAAGAAAAAAAAAAGAAACAAAGTGAAATAAAATAAATAATATTCTCTCAGAAGTAGTTTGTATTTTGCAAGCTTAGAAAGATGGACTTGTTTGAAAATCGTTATTACAATATTAACAAAGTATTATTGTGTTTAGTTGGTATTTGGCCATACCAAAATTTTCAACAAAGAATTATTCAAATGWTTTTAACATACACTGCGTTAAATATAGCAACAATATTTTTAGTAAATTTATATTTAAATTTACATATCAAATTTTGTTTTATGTTTTCAAAGTGTCCATTATTTAATTATTTTTCAATAATAATAATTTTTTTTAATATTTTTTAATTTCAAATATTCAATTAAAAATTTCATTTTATATTAAAAAATGTTTAATTTCAATTTTACAAATTGTTTTTAATGACAAAATACAATACAACACTCATTGTATCAATATTTTTAGTAAATTCATATTGAAATTAATATTTCAAATTTTGTTTTATGTTTTTAAAGTGAAACTTACATTTTTTTTTTTTTTCATTATATTTCAAGAATAATTTTTAATATTTTTAATTTAAAATTAAATTTCAATTAAATTTAATTTTAAATTGAAACATTTTTAATTTCAATTTTATAAATTGTTAAACAACAAAATACAACACTCGTTGCATCAAATTAATCATAGTTACATTTATTTTTTTATATGCTGTCTTTTCACAATATTTTTAATTAACAAAATAATAATAATAATAATAATAATATATAATATCATTATTTTTCCTCCTTTTTTTTTTAATTAATTTTTAAAATAAAGAAGTTTTGCTTTTTTTAATATATGTTTCATAGTACACTCATAATTTTTGTTTTATTATTTAAACCTTTTTGTTTCTTTTTACATCTTGCATTAATAAAAATTATTAACAATGTGTCAATTAAAACTAATACTTTTTTTTCTCACTTTTTATTATTTCTTTTTCTATATTTTTCATTTTCTTTTCAGTTAGGCAAATTTTTTACAACCAAATGCAACGTGGATCTAATCGTCGAGATATTAGCATTTTTGTTACCAAATTTTTGTTACTATTGCAGTTATTTTACTTTTCATTTAAAATTACAACAAGTAAGTGATAATATTATTAAACAAATACAATCGTATATTATTTTTTATTATATTAATTTTGATTTATTAACAAATAGATGAAAAAGCTCTTAGATATGATTAAATGTGATTGGGAACAATTACAAAATCCTGATGAAATAGCCATCATTAAAAGATATGCAAATAAAAGTAAAAATTATACGATCATTTTAACAGGTAAAGAAAAAAAAAACAACAACAAATTATTTTCTTTAATTGTCTTGTTCGTTAATTAATTAATTAATTAATATTAAAAACATATTATTACAACAAGATTTTGTTTTCAGTAATATTTAGTATTTTTTTATTCATGACTTCTGTATCATATTTGTTACCACATGTGTTGGATATTATTGTTCCATTAAATGAAACTCGTAAACCAACAGTGATAATTCCTATAGAAACATTTTACAAAATTGAAGAAAATATATATGGAGTTATATTAATGATTTTAATATTAGCGTGTTTAGGTGTTGTAGCAGTTGGAGTTTATGGTTCATTTTTACTTTTAATTCAACATACTTGCGGAATGTTAAGTTTAACAGGGTAAAATTGAAACAAACAATTATATTTAAAAATTAATTGAAAAAATTTCCTTTTTTTGTTTAAACATAAATAATATTTATTATCATATGTTTTATAATTTTTTTTTCTTTTTATTGTTGTTGTTAGATTCATTCTGGAACACGTTTTTGTTAAAAACGAACAATACATTAATACCAACGATGAAAATGAAATTATTTATAAAAATCTCATACGAAGTATTCGATTTCATATTAGAACCTTAAAGTTAGTAAATATTTTTCATTTTTAATTTATGTATTAGGTCGAATCATAAGTAACTTCCATTTTTTATGAGACAAAGAATGGCGTTTCTGTGACTGATAAGTGCAAGACACCTTTTATGGAGTTTTTTTTTTTTGCACTCTTTTTGCAATTGTTCAACGTATCTATTGGATTTTGTTCCAATATTACCTTTAAAAGGTTCATCAAAGTTGGAAATACGTCCCTGCACTTGGTTCATCTTTTAACTTTTGCTTATCACTCTTCCTGGAGTAACACGTTTACCACACCCGGATCCTTTGGACCCGGGCGAGAAAAATCGTTATAAAAAAGAAACTATTGCACAGATTTACTTCAACATTTTTTTTGAGATCTCTTTAATACTTACTTTAAAAGATTATATAGGT